CTCTTCTCAGGATAAACCAGACCCTTACATTGTTTTGCAGCAGTGGGTTGACAAAGAATTGAAGAATGATAAGGTTCCTTGAGATGTTATTTAGTCCAGTCCTCTGCACTCATGGCAGGACTAAGGATTATCTGCACTCAGGGAGGAGGCAATAATTTTTAAAAGGGGTCCACTTCACAAATTTTTGAAATGGTCCTGGGCTGCCCTGGAAAGGGTGGGGCCTTGGGCAGAAGGGGTGAGGCCAGGAGACTGCTCATGCTCGCCCGCCCACAGACTCTGATTGGCCTAGATGTTGAAGAGCACATGAAGTCTTTGTCCCCTGCCCCCAGTGCCCAGAGAGAATTGCCTGCTGTTTTAAAACAGCTGGCGGTTCCCTGTAGGTGCTACAGCAGGAGGAGACTTTGCACACTCCCCTGATCTCCCAGGGGTTTGTCAGTTGCACTTGCTCTGGATTGTTTGTTTTACAAATTGTTGAGCTAGTTTTAATCTTGTTTTAGTATGTCAAGTTATACCTTTTATATTTACAGTATAAAACTAGAAATAAGCATTTGATTCCTTTCAACATATGCAAACACATCTTTATTAAAAGCATTAAAAGAATAATTACAGTAGAACCTCAGAGTTATGAACACCTTGGGAATATAGGCTCGTGACTCTAACATTTATAACTCTGAACAAAACTTTGTCATTGCTCTTACAACCGAACATTGGCTTGATATAGCTTTGAATTTTACAATTTCCAAAGAAAAATTTCCCTTTATTTTTAATAATTTGCATGTAACACTGTACTGTATTTGCCTTTGTTTGGTTGTTTTTTGTCTCTGCTGCTGCCTCATTGCATCTTTCCAGTTCCAAATAATGTCTAGGGTTGACTGATCAGTTTGTAACTCTGAGGATCAACTATTCTTTTGTTTACCCTTTTGTCTAATATGGAAAGAACTGCAATAAACGAAAAGACTCACAAATCTTTACATAGTGCAATGTCTGGAGAGAATCAATTATATGGCATCAATATTTGTCCAACAGAATGCTCAACCAGTGAATAATTCCTGCGGTCCTCATTCGTTTTCATACCTTAAGGCTCCCTTTTGATATACTAGTGCTTCTACTCCCAGAATCCTTCTGCTCTCTATGGGTACGTCTAGACTGCAGCCCTATTTAGCTATTTTGCATCTTTTAAACAAGACTGCTATTTCAAAATAGATTTCAAAGTAAGGGGCTCGCTATTCGGATGTCCCTGCAACTCTCATTCCACAAGGGTTAAGGGATATTTTGGAATAGTGCTTTATTTCAAAATTTAGAACTGTGTAGACTGCACCAAATTTTGAAATAAGCTATTTTGAAATTAGATCAAAGTAAGATACACAATTTACATAACTCAAATTTTGTATCTTATTCCAAGCTAAGGGTTCAGTGTAGATGCACCCTAAGGGTGTGTCTAGACTACAGAGTTTTGTCGACAAAAGTGGACTTTTGTCGACAAAACTTTACCTGTGTCTACGCTGTGGCTGAGTTCTGTCGACATAACTCAGCAGTTTTGTCAACTGCTCATTCTATGAGGAATAATACCTTTTGTTGACAGAGTTCTGTTGACAGAAGGCATTATTGCATCTACACTGTCCTTTGTATCTACACTGTCATGTCAACAAAGCGGCTTGCTTTGTTGACAGAACTGGATGTAGTCTAGACACTCTTTATTGACAGAAGCTTTGTTGACAGTATCTGTCGACAGAAGCTTTGTCGACAGTATCTGTCGACAAAACTTCTGTCGACAAAACTCTGTAGTCTAGACGTACCCTAACTGTGTAACCCTTCCATTTAGAAATATAGAAATATAAATACAGGTTGCCCAGGTTGTGTTCTCCTGACCCATTGAACTACCCTAAATTATTAATGGATTTATGACAGACAGTGCCACAGTGGATTCCATACTGAATTTTTTAAAAGGCAGTACCGTAAGAATGGAATTAGAAGGTCAACACTTGTCTAAATATTACCTGAAATTACACACTGTTTTTCCTTTATGTAAGAAAGAAGATCTTTATAGTAACAGTTGGTGAATATTAACTGTATATGCTCAATGTTATATCACTACTAGTGGTGTGTAAGTGCCTTATTAAACTATATATGAATTTAGCATTCTTCTTAAATTTAGATATTGGTTTTTAAAACTTGAAATCATACATCATTATTAAGTAAAGGATTGGTCCAAATACTGAGAGTTCTGTAATAGTGAAGGAAAAAAATTGTTTGAATTGTTTTAAGTTTTCTTTTTTATCTAATTCAGAAGAGCTGACAAATGTTCATTAATGAAAAACAGAAAAAAAATATTTTCAGCTTTTTTGTACACATTTCAGATACAGCTTCTGTAGTGAGTATAACCTCTAACTTGGCTACCCCTCTGAAGCTCTTAAACAGTGTTTGTTAGGATTATGAGAAAGCTGAAACTGTGCAGCTCTGTGTGCCTTAAATCACTTCACGCAGTTCTCCAAAAGGGGGACCCTGTGGCCAAAAAGGGGTGGGTTCCAAAAAGTAACTAATTAAAGCCATTTTTTCTGTCAACAGCAAGCAGAAAAGCCTGAGTGAGGTGTTTTCTCAGGTGCACATACAAAGCTAGTCCTGGGGTAGCTTATTTCTAGTTTGGCAGCCTGCCCTGATGGGAAGATGATAAGGAGTTAATTGCCAACATGTGTTTTTACAAATATATTAGGCTGACTTAAACAGCCTAATGCAAAATACTGTCCCCAGGATCCTGAGATGATGCTGGGCAAACCTTGAAGGAGTTTTATTATGTGACCATTTAAAATGATAAAACTGTGATAGATGAATTCCAAGTCCTAGGAGTTTTAATGTGTGTAAGGGGAAAATGTGTGTATTTGCCCCCAAATCCTTAAACGAGTAATTACAAATTACATTGCAGGCACTGGGCCAAATTCACAGAGGCATCTTAGAAATTTGGGAGGGAATCTAAGTTGGTATAAATTACACTGAATTTTACTTGTTCTAGCCTATATTGTACTTGCTGAGACTTACGTGATCAGAAACATTACGTTCATACCTACTTACCAATTTGAAATTTACACTCCTTCTTCACACCACTTTTAGATTTGGCCCATGGATTTAATGCATACCAGTCTCCCTTAGCTCAGTTATACTTATACTTACAATTACATACTAATGTATCCTCTCTTTTTCTTTCTACTTAGAGAGAAAGAGAGATGCCAAATGCACAGGTGATGTGGGGAGAAATGTAAATTTTAGATTTCAATATACATGAAAGTATGGCAGGAGTCACTAAGGGGTGTTGCTACAAATAAGTTCTTTTCCTTAGTGTCAGAGTACTTTACAGCCCTGATATAAAGGATGTGGTGTTATTCATTGCATGCTACAATCCATTGGCTATGTCTACACTGGCATGAATTTGCGCAAGAACTCTTTGGCGGAAGAGTTCTTGTGCAAAAACCCTTCCGGAAGAGAGCATCTACACTGGCATGTGCCTTTGCTCAAGAGATGTGCTTTTGTGCAAGAGCATCCATGCCAGTGTAGATGCTCTCTTGCACAAGAAAGCTCTGATGGCCATTTAACCATAGGGCTTTCTTGTGCAAGAAATTCATGTTGCCGGTCTACACTGGCCTCTTGCGCAAGAACAGTTGCACAAGAGGGCTTATTCCTGAGTGGGAGCAGCAGAATTCTTGTGCAAGGAGCACTGATTTCATACATTAGAATGTCAGTTTTCTTGACAGTGTAGACAGGCAGCGAGTTTTGGCGCAAAAGCGGCTGCTTTTGTGCAAGATGACGCCAATGTAGACACAGCCCATATGTACCATTCTTCTGATTTCCCTGGGCATGTTGAACCCCCACTGTGCCCTAGTCCCTGCCCCGAGACCACCCTCTTCTCACCCTGTTCAGCTCCCTCCCCCAAGTGTGTCCCACCCTCAGGCTGCCTTTTCCTGCCCCTGCTCCTCCCTCTTCCTCTCAGCACCTTCTGCTTGCCACTGAATAATTGATTGGCAGGAAGCAGCAGGTGCTATGTTGGGGAGGAGGGGAGCTGATTAGCAGGGCCAACCAGTGGGTTGTGCGTACCCACTATGTTTTCTATGGGTGCTCCAGTCCCAAAATACACACAAAGTTGGTGCCTCTGCTCCAATATCTTTTTTGGAGGGGTGGAGGAGGTGTTGAAGAGATAGAAGAGTATGTTTTCTGTCTTAATCTCCAACTAAAGTCAATTCTTGGGGAAGAATTGCTTCCTGGGAACTGCATATAAAGCTATGTCTACACTGCACTGTAGCTCGAAATGAGATGCACAATTTGAGCTACACAAAGTGTGTATCTTATTTCGATCTTATTTCAAAATAACGTATTTCGTACACTGGCACTGTCTACACAGTGCCATTTTTTGAAATAACCCACTATTCCGAAACATCCCTTACTCCTTGTGGAATGAGGTTTACAGGGATGTCAGAATAGCTAGCCTGTTATATTTTGAAATAACGGGCTTGCTGTGAAGACATTGGATAGATATTTCAGGATACTTCAGTATCCTCAAATAGCGCTGCAGTGTAGACGTAGCCTAGATGAATAGTGTGGAGAAAATAAGTTATACTAAGAAAAAAACCAGTGTCCATGTCACTGATTTCTCATCCAATGGGAAACTGGTCTATAAAGCCTTAATATCTGTTTCTGCCATGCTCTTTTCCTATGTTTTAAATTATTTACTATCCTTACAGACCAATTTAGTAAGTCTGTAAGGAAACAATATTCAAGTAACAATGTTTCTGAATTTACCTCAGTGGCATTTTCTTATCTTTTCCTTTCAATGTAATTTAATTTAATTAAATTTAATTTAATTTAATTTAATTTAATTTTTTTAACCCTCTAGCAGCTGGATGAATTTGATGTCCAGTCTGTGGAAAGAACATATGCAATGCAGTGTGATACTATAACCTGAGTCCACAAGAGCTTTGAGAATTCTGAAATGTGGGCCTCTTGTTTTTCTACAGAAATTGTTGATTATGGGCCTGTGTTTGTACAAGAACCCGATGACGTGATTTTTCCTACTGATTCTGATGAGAAGAAAGTGTCACTGAATTGTCAAGCACGAGGAAACCCTACTCCTATTTACAGGTACAGTGAGTCTGTTGAGAATTTTTTGCAGCTTCCAGAATGTTTGTCCTTTGGGCTCCCTTTCTGAAGAACAACATGCAGAGGGAGACAAAGTAATGAAAAGGCTCAGCAGTCATGCACAACCTCCCTGTTCCTGGGGTTGCCAACCCCTTAAATCATTCTTTGTACCGGATAGCTGATGGATAGCTAATATAATGTCAATTTTTGAAAAAAGCTCCAGAAGTGATCCAGCATGTACAGGCCAGTAAGTTTATTCAGTACCAGACAAAGTAGTTGAAACTATGGTAATGAACAGAATTATAAGTTACATAGATGAACACAATATGTTTGGGAAGAGTGAATATGGCTTTTATAAAGCAAAACTATGCCTCAGCAATCTATTAGAAATTCTTCAAGATGTTGCCAAGTATATGAACAAGTGTGGTCCAGTGGATATAGTATACTTGGACTTTCAAAAAGCCTTTGACAATGTCCCTCATCAAAGGCTTGTAAGCAAAATAGATAGTCATAGAATAAGAGGGAAGACCCTCTCATGGATCGGTGACTGGTTAAAAGACAGGGGAGAAAATGGATAGGAATGAACAGCCTGTTTTCAGAGTAAAAAAAAGTAAGTAATGGGGTCGCATATACTTCAGTATATTCATAAATCATTTTGGATATACAGATAAGCATTGATGTGCAAAGATTTTAGGTGATACAAAATTACTCAAGATAGTTAAATCCAAAGATGACAATGAAGAGTTACAAAGGGATCTCCCAAAACTTGGTGACTGGATAACAAAATGGCAATTGAAATTCATTGTTGATAAAGGCAAAGGAATGACCATTGGAATAGGTATGTTAAATTCTGATTTGTCGATAAGGGGGAGGTGGAGCACTTGCAATTCTGGCTGCATCTAAGCCTTTTAAATGTAGTAAGAGCTGTGGGTGTCTCTTACTACATTTAAAAGACAGAAGAGCAGAGGGGAGCTGTGGCGCTTCAGCCTTTGAAATGTTTCCACAGAGGAAACATGGGCTGCTTAAGTCCATGCTCACCTCATGTTCCCTGCTGCACTTCTCTTTTTGAAATGTAACAAGAGCTCCATGCGGCTCTTGTCGTATTTCAAAAGCAGAAGCACAGCAATTAGAACCAGCGTGAGCAGGGATTGCATCAGTCCCCACTTGCACCATTTCCCTGCTGTGCCTCTGCCTCCCCTGCCTCCTGTGGAGACAGTGCGGGGAGAACTAGCTTTTAATCTGGCTCCCTCCAGCAATGGCTCCTCCCCACCCCCCACCCTGCCCCTTGCTTCCTATCTCTGCTAGAGGCAGCAAGGGGGAAATGGAAAGCAACTAATCAAGTCACTGCTCAACTACCCAATAAGCTTATGCTTATCAGATAGTCAACTAGTTGCTTACATCGCTACCTTGGAAAGCGTAATACTAACTCTACATACAAAATGGTGGGGTCAAAAGTAACTGTTACCACTCAAGAAAAAATTCTTGGAGTTGTCATGGATAATTCTCTGAAAATATCTGTTCAATATGCAGCAGCAGTTAAAATAGTTAACAAGCTCTTAGGAACTATTAGGAAAGGGACCGATAATAAAATATTTTAATGTGTCTATAGAAATCAATGTTACTCCCACACCATGAATGTTACATGCATCTCTGGTTGCCCCCATCTCAACAGAAATATATTAGAATTGAAAAAAGACAGAGAAGGGCATCAGGAATGGTTAGGGGTATGGAATAACTTCCATATAAAGATATTAAAAATCCCCATCAGTTCAGTTTTTAGCAAAGAGACCTCTAAGGATGGGGAGGATATGATAGAGCCTATGTTCAGCCTATTTTCCATGGCCCTTAGTGGTCTGCAGACTATGTCTAATATTTCCAAAAATATTTCCTCCATTCATAATTTGTTTAGGGGTCCTCAAATGAAAAAAACATTGAAAATCACTGTAATGGAAATATATAAAATCATGAATGGTTTGAAGAAAGTGAGTAAGGAACTGTTATTTACCCTATCACATAACACAAGAACCAGGTGTCACTCAATGATGTTAACGAGTAAGAAGTTCATAACAAAGCATAAGGAATTACTTCTTCACACAACGCGCAGTCAACCTGTGGAACTTATTGTCAGGGGATGTTGTAAAGGCCAAAAGTATAACTAGTTCAAAAAAGAATGAGATAATTTCATGGAGGATAGGTCCATCAGTGGCTAGTAGTCAAGATGGTCAGGACACAACCCAATGCTCCAGGTGTCTATAAACCTCTGACTACCAGAAGCTGGGACTGGATGACAAGATAATGATGACTCAATACATTTCTCTTTTCTGTTCATTCCCTCTGAAGCATCTACACTGGACACTTTTTGCAGACAGGACAGTGGACCAGATGGATCATTGGTCTGACCTAATATGGCCATTTTTATTTTCTTATCTGTAAGGCTGGAGTGTTCCCAGTATGGATGAAATCTTTGCAAAATGTAGCTACTGAAATCAAAGATATCTGTACTCACCATATGCTAACTGTGACTTTTTTTCAAAAGCTTATAACATGGCCAAATTTGGACAGATTTTCATGGGGACAGCAGTAGGCATATCCTTGATATAATGGTCAAGACCCTGCCAAATTTCAAGTGCCTGCTCTAAAGTATTGGGACACTAGTGTTTCTTAAACAAAGGTTGTTATTATTTTTTAATATTTCAAAAATAATGTATTTTTCCCCTTCCTTGGTTCTCAGAAATGTCTAAACTGTTTCAGCTGAATGTTTCTTTAAAAGGGTGATCTAAGGCAAATAGCTGGTGTGGAAAATTTCAGCTCACACACCTAAAGTTTGACAAAGTTACAAAAAACTGGACACAGCATCTTATAATGGGAGGTTTCTGGAGATCTTAGTAAAGGCATTACTACAAGTGCCACATATAATAATCATCTTGACTCATTTACATTTTTATATGGTTTTCAAAGTTTCTTTTCCCCAAACATTTGCTGAACTTGTTTCTCACATTTTCTCCCAAGATGGCTACGAAATGGAACTGAAATTGATATAGAAAGTGATTACCGCTACAGTTTGATAGAAGGAAGTTTTATTATCAGCAATCCCAGTGAAGCAAAGGATTCTGGGCAATATCAATGTTTAACCACCAATGTGTTTGGAAGTATTTTGAGCAGAGAGGCCACCCTTCAATTTGCATGTGAGTAACAATATTTTAACATGAATTCAACTGTTACACTGTTTAATAAGGTTCTGCAATGTAATTTGAAAATGCCCTATAGAAATAGTATTATTATATACAGACTTTATTATTCCAGGCAAAATGAGAGGGTTAAAAATAAATGACCATGTTTATGAGAGAGAGCTGTTACTTGTGTAACTTTCAAGAGACTGAGACTAGCCAGTGTAATATTGTAAAAATCACATCGTTGCTGTAAAAATGTTTTTTTATTTCTACATTCAAGTCTTTGCTCAGCTGACTAATTATACAAAGTGGAACAGCTTCAACAGGAGAGACTGAGAGTTGTGCCAAAATATCATATAGCCAGTGATTGGGCTACTGACCTGCAATGTAGGAGCCCAAAGGCAAAGGAGTCTAAGTCTTCACATCCCAAACTGATGCTTTAACCAGTGTGGGTATGTCTACACTACCCTCCTAATTCGAACTAGGAGGGTAATGTAGGCATACCGCACTTGCAAATGAAGCCCAGGATTTGAATTTCCTGGGCTTCATTTGCATGAAGCCAGCCGGCGTCGTTTTTAAATGCCGGCAGTTCGACCCCCGTGCCGTGCGGCTACAGGCGGCACGGGGTCCGAACTGCCGGCATTTAAAAATGGCGCCGGCCGGCTTCATGCAAATGAATCCCGGGACAGGGTTCGAACTGCCGGCATTTAAAAATGGCGCAGGCCGGCTTCATGCAAATGAAGCCTGGGAAATTCAAATCCCGGGCTTCATTTGCAAGTGCGGTATGCCTACATTACCTTCCTAGTTCGAATTAGGAGGGTAGTGTAGACATACCCTGTGTGATCTATCTCTATATATTAGAGTACCTCTCTCTGTGTGTTTGTTTGGTCAAGCACTCCTCCTAAACCATAAGAGCTAGGATCACCAAATTAAGTATGCATCTTATTCTTACACTAAGTTAATCCAAGGTCAGCATTTGGTTGTGTGTGGAAAACAGTAAGTGCTGGTAATAGGATTTTCCATAAAATGGAAAGGGAGGGGCACAGTGAGGGGAGGAAAGCAAAACTGAGAGTGGCCACTGGGAGTAGCTGCAACACCAAGGGACTGGCCAGGAGGACTGGGATCCCACCATACTGCCTGCCTGCCAGCACACCAGTAAGAAGCTCACCTGCCCCAAACCTGGAGCCTGCCCCCCTATGAATAGACTTCAGGATGGGGGGAGGCTCTTGATACAGCCTCCAGGCCACAGGGTAGGGGCCACTGGAGGGGGCAGCTGAAGCAAAAGAAGCCCCTGGAGCCTCACCCTCCCAATAGCCTGTAGGCTGGGAGGGAACCATTGGAAGAGGGACAATTGGAGAAGAAGAAGCCAGTGGAGCCTGGCCTCCCCCCAGACAGCCTGCAGGCTGTGGGGGACCAGTTTCACAGGGAAGCAACCCCCAGAGCCTGGAGCCTTCCCAGACAGCCAGCAGGCCACCGGGAGGAGTACTGGAGGCCATAGGTAGCCCTTTGAGCATTGCTTCCCATGCCCCTAGACAATCATCATGGTGGGGCGCACACACCTCAAATGGAAGGGATGTGAGCAGCACATCTTGAAGAACAAGTTATGAAAAGTAGGTAACCCCTTTTAAAAATGATTTTGTGTGCTTGAGTGCAACTGTTATTTCTAAAGCCATTAATAAAGTTCTGGAACTGTGTCTCTGTTTGAGAGTAGAGAAATATATAGTTTGCAAGTGGATTATCACCAATTATGCCACTGTTTAAATTCTGTACCAAAATGTATAAGACTACAAAGTATATATTCCATGTCATACAACAATGTATTTGTATTGAAAATGTTACATTGATCTCAACAGGCATTTCTAGAATTCAACTCTGAGAAAATACTGCTGGATCTTATCTTGTATATAATAGAACTATCGTAAAATGATTTCTTAGCTATAGACCATTACGACTGGTAAATTTGGGTTGTTTCAGAGCTCTGAAATACAGTGTTTTGTGTCTACTTCCCGAGGAAGACTAAAATGTAGGTCAGCTGACCCTGATTGCAGCAAGACAAGCTCCTCATGGAAGAGGGCCAGAGTTATAGAAGTTAGTGTGGAGTTTAAGTGTCTGGTGGTGGCAATGTACTCAGAATCCAATATACCTTTGTAAAGCTAGAGTAAAATAAAATATGTTCCCTTTTGAACATCTCTGACTGAATTAGTCACCATCTCCCCTTGGAACATAAGGGGAAGGGTTTTTATTTGAAATTTTTGATCAGCACTCACATTTGCCCTTGCAGACACTGAAGTTGCCACAATGTGGCTACTTGCAGCAGGTTTCTAGTCATTGTTTTAAATTGATAGCTCTGGAGTGGCAGTTGAGCTTGCTGCTGCATAGGTTAATAGTAGAACACTAGCTTTCAGAGGCCAGAGGTAAGAATTTGAAGCACATAGAGAACCATAAAAGAAAATGCATAATGACGAATAATTGTAGGAAGCAAAAGGAATGGGCCAGCGCTAGGGAGGAGCAGCAGGAGAGGAAAGAACAGAAAGGATCAGAATTTCCAATTGAATCCAAGTGTTCATCTTTTAACAGTTTGGGAGCAGCTCTAAAACAAACAGCTATTCCAGTTATGACGTCTTGAAGCACATAGAGAACCATAAAAGAAAATGCATAATGACGAATAATTGTAGGAAGCAAAAGGAATGGGCCAGCGCTAGGGAGGAGCAGCAGGAGAGGAAAGAACAGAAAGGATCAGAATTTCCAATTGAATCCAAGTGTTCATCTTTTAACAGTTTGGGAGCAGCTCTAAAACAAACAGCTATTCCAGTTATGACGTCTTATCTTCTCTCCTGCCCTATGCTCCTTCACACCTATCCCCTCCATCCACAGCAGTTGCCCACTCTTGCTTTGTGTTTCCTTCCAGAATTTGTTTCCTGTCCTGGTGGCCATTCTTCTGCCTTCTTTTTGTTTAAGCACATCACTTTTGTGAGAACTGTAAAACCTAATTCCTTCAACAGAAACATGTTGGTTTTGTTTATAAGAAAAAAATAGTCAAGTGTGGTCAGGGCTTTATGCATGGAGCTCACTGACTTCTGGGCTGGGCTGATTAATCACCTATGAAGCTGTGCAGCCACACAGTTTAGCGGGAACACTGATGTGCACCCTTGTATTTTTGAGGGCAGGGCCTATATCTTCCCTTCCACAGTACCAAGTGCATGGCTGAACTTATTAAATAAATAATTAATGGCTATCAATCTTAAATCTCTTTTAATCTACCCATAATTCTTCACTCTTTGCTGTATGTGCCTGAAATAGAACCATAGAAGTGTAGGACTGGAAGGGACCTTCACAGATCATCTAGTTCATTCCCCTGAACTCAATGCAAGATTAGGTACTAATTAATATTTCTGTCACATTTCTAATATAGTCCAGGCTGACAAAGATTCTCTAGTAATGCAGTGATTTTAATAAGATGTAGAAATTCGCTATATTAAATGGTTCCACTATACTGTGTTAACTTGTTATCATGATAATAAGAGCTTTGAATTGATAATGTGACATCTCCAACTTCTCACACATCCTGCTGAGTTTAGAATGTGAAAGCTCATAGCAATCTATCAAAAGTTTAGATTCTATGTCAGTAAATCAAACAGAAAATGAATCAAGAATAAAGTCATCTGGTGCTGTTTCCAGCTTCAAAATATCTTTATATGCCAACCTTGCTAAATTGATAGTTCATATCTAAATCAGAACACACTGCTTTCCAGGGTATTCAGATGATTTATATCTGAATATTCAGCTATTCTTCCTTGCAGCAGTAGTTTAAAAGTTAGAATAATTTTATCATGGACTCTTGGGAGAATTACAAAATATAGAAGTAGTTATAGTAGTGCTGATTACTTCCACTATAGCTAACTATAATCAGCAGTTTCCATTAGGAAATCTGAAATTCAGGGTTATAACTTGAAATGTGTTTCATAGATGCTTTTTTGTGCTCTTAACACTGCAGTTTATGGAATGTCTTTAGTATTTAAAACAAAATGTTACAGATAGTTAATCTCTAATGCCTTAAAATCCTCTATTATAGTAGTGCTGATTACTTCCACTATAGCTAACTATAATCAGCAGTTTCCATTAGGAAATCTGAAATTCAGGGTTATAACTTGAAATGTGTTTCATAGATGCTTTTTTGTGCTCTTAACACTGCAGTTTATGGAATGTCTTTAGTATTTAAAACAAAATGTTACAGATAGTTAATCTCTAATGCCTTAAAATCCTCTACAACCGTGGTCCCCAACACGGTGCCCGCGGGCGCCATGGCGCCCGCGGGGGCATTTCAATGCGCCC